ATTAGTTGTTGAGGTTGTTTTTTTAAAAATAAACAAACATTTTAGGCAAGGATGTTTTAATTTTAAGACCTTATCAGTTGTGTAGATGTCGACCAACGACGTCGACGTTGCTGACCAACGTTTCGAATCTTCCATGGAACATGATGCACAAACACTTCGAGATACAATTGTCGTATAGGAACCTTTTCAGCTTGAAGGAGTGTCTCCAAGAGAAATACCGATTCAGTCAATTACAATTGACCTCGGATATCTTCCGCGATACGATCCAACCGTGGGCCCGAACAATGATGATGATGTACTTGAGGAGGATGAGGAGGAGGAGGAGGAAGAGGAAGATGAGGAGGATGATTGGGAGACCGACAGTGATCATAGCGACGAAAACGAAGATTATTATAGTTCAGATGATGAATAATGTAAAACACTTGCGACTTGCCATGTAAAACATATTAAAGGATTATCCAAACCTTAAATATTTGTTTGAATATTGTTCGAATATTTGTGGAATGTATATCCAAACCTTCAATATATGTGGGGAACTTTGTAACGTGTTTGCAACATTTTTCGTTTCTTTTATTGAATTCTGTTCATTTTCATAACTGTTTTTGACTTTTGGTCCGCGCTGACGTTAATTTTATATATCTTTGCAGCCAAGAAGAACACCCGGGGACCTTGTCGCCAGTTGAGTACGGCGAAGCTCACTCGGGTGACCAACAGTCGTATCAACATCAGATACGACGAGCGTCATCGGGCTGCACCTACTGCGGACCAACATAGCTCATTGGCCCACGATGTTGGTTCAGTCATTCGGACCCATTGTCCGATGAAATGGAAGTCTTGGAAGGCCATGCCTAACGAGGTGCAGATGGAGGTGCGTGGACAGCTGTCGGTATGTATCCTACCTTTTAATTGTGTTCCCTTCCAATTTTATATATTTCTAGTACTTAATGCATGTAATTAATTTATTGCAGATCAACTACAATTTAGAGAATCTCAACGACGATTTGTTCGGGTACATCGATAGACTGTTTGCGGATAGGTACAAGCAGTGGAAGAGCAACCTGCACCACCATTTTCAGGCATATGATGATCCGCAGGTTGCTCTTCTGGAGGGTTGCCCGAAGGAGCTTGAGGGGCGGGAGGATAGTTGGGAGTGGCTCTGTGGTCATTTTCAGGGGGCAGATTATGTGGTATTTTTTTTTTTACTAAGTTCAAAATTCTGTTTTCATTTCATTTTCAACTAAAATATTTTATTTTTTGTATAACAGAAGATGGCCAAAGCAAATAAGGGCAATAGGGCGAAGAAGACTCTTCTCCACCATTCAGGTGCCAGGCCCTTCTCCTATAGGATGGAGGCGCGGCGGCAGGTAATAATTATATAATTTTTATTTACTTTTTAATGTATTTAATATTAATTTGTTTTTTTTGTACTAACAATTTTTTTTCTCTTGTTCAATTAGGAGGGGTCCAAATTCCCAGAGATTGATGTCTTTGGCGACGTTTATGTTCGACCTGGGAATGAGTTGGCGGAGTCCATTCATGTAAGTAGTCTTTAATTATAATTATTCTCTTACACGTTCAAGTTTCAACTTTATTATATGAATGTTTTAATTAATATTTTATGTTATGTTAAATAGATGACCATGATTGAGAAGAGCCAGTTGGTTCTTCAGGAGTCCGCCTCTCAGCTTCCTCCCGATACGCCGCTCGAGTCCGTGGCTCCTCCACCAGATGCAGGGTTTCAGATCTTGACGGAGGCTTTGGAGCAGACTCTCGGGAGGCGGCCAGGGACATATTGTCGAGGGATGGGGAATGCCCGGCGGCGGGAACCTAGATCCCGTTCATCGTCCCAGTCAAACAGTGCTATGACAGCAATGATGGCCCAATTTGAAGCCCGGATGTCCCAGATGGACCAGCTTCAAGCCCGGGTGGCCCAGATGGCCGAGCTTGAAGCAAAGGTGGCCCAGATGGGCGAGCTTGAAGCCCGGATGTCCCAGATGGATTCGTTCTTACAGTCCCTCGCCCAGTCCGGCATTCCCGTACCGTCTTTTGTTCCTCCATCCACCTCTGAGCCCATCCAACCCGAGCATGGCCATCAAACCTCTGCCCCTGTCGACAATGTCCAGATCGGAGACCAAGTAGATTATCAAACAATGTTTGATTAGTTTTCTTTATGACATTTGAAACATTTTTCTTTTATTTGACTCTATATTATGTTATAACAAAAACTTTCTCTTAATTACATTTTTTTTATTGTCATTTCATTTAATTATAAAAATAAATAAACCAAACAAAAATTTCCCCAAAAAGAAAAAAATAATAATTTAATTACTCTTTTGCGCGACGAACATATGCCGTGATGTCGTCGCGCAAAATTTTCCACAGGAAAATACAAACCATTATAATTTAAATGGAGAAACAATATATTTACGTTTGCGCGACGAAAAATGTCGTCCCCTAAAGGCAACGCGACGACGAGAATTTTGTAGCTCTATATTTGCGCGACAAATGGCATTGTCGCACAGGGTTTGTGCGACAATCTATTCGTCGTCGCGCATAAAACTGAGCGACGAAAGTTCATCGTCGCGCCAGGTTTGTGCGACAGTTATTTTTCGACGCGCATAAAGCTGAGCGACGACCCTTATGCTGCCTCTCAAATGTCTGTGCGACGATGGTAATTCGTCGCACCAGCTTTGCGCGACAATTTTTTTTTCGTCGCGCATAAAGGTGCGCGACAATTCTTATGCCGCCTCTCAAATGTCTGTGCGACGACGGAAAATCGTCGCACAGTTTTGAGCGACGAACACATAATCGTCGCGCAAACTGTTTGCGCGACGAAGTGTAGCCGTCCCAGAATTGTTGGTGCAACGAGCTTGTTGCGCGACGAAATGAGCAATGGTCTGTCGCACAAGGGCTTTCTTTACGGACTTCGCGCGACTGAGTTTGCGCGACGGTGATTTCGTCGCGCTGTTATTCGAGCGACTACTTTGTACTTTGCGCGACAAATTTGTCTTCGTCGCGCAAACAGTGAAATTTAGTAGTGGGAGTTCAAGGACTACCGAAATTATTTTGCGAATTCAAGAACCAAAATACAAATAACGTGTAAATTTAGAGACTATTACTACAATTAAGCCAAATATTTTTTATCATGGAACTAATCGTTAATTTTCTCTTCCTTGATCAAAGTGGAATTATTTTCAATAAGAAAGTCAATTTTCATGATTTCATCAATTGAGACCACATAATGTCCTTGCTTGACTATGAGTTGGTCTTCACTTTTGGGAGATCTTCATATCTTTGTTCATGGCCCACCAAATTCACTTTGCTCACAATATTTATTTATTTTCTCAAAATTGGAAGAATTGGTAGTTCACTTGGGACCACATTAACAATTTTAACGGATGATGAGTTCTTGGTTTCACTCCATTACAATTTATAGCTTTGTATTTGTATTTGAATGCGGAGAGATTATATTTTACATGAGAGAGACGAGGAGAGAGGCTGAGAGATCTAGTAGAAGAGAAATAGAGAGCTTGGGAGAGCTTTGGACAACTATTGGAGAAGTGGCAGTTGCTGGCCTTTTGCTTGGAGGTGGTGAGCCCCCTTTTATAGTCCAAGTTGGAGTAGACAAGGTTGATTGATGACTGAGACATTTGCATGGCTCCCCTTAATTTGGTGTCTTGGGACTTGAGAAGGCATAGAAGGAGGGCATGACTAGCTACTCCTTATTTGATGAGATGTGACGAATGACAAGCAAAGGTTATCCCTGAATTGGTGGGATTTCCTTAAGAGTGAAGGTGACGTCAACATGGTTTGACACGGGATGAGGGACAATAGGGTTTTTTTTTTTCCTAAGTCCTTAAAAATTATTTTTCAAAAGGGTAAATTTGTCTTTAAAATTTTGAAGATAAAATGAATACGGAAATAGAGTTAGGGGGTGAAAATAGCAGCACTTAATTGAAATTACGGTGCCTAACTCCAATAACAAATTTTTTTTTTTACACTTAACTAATTGGCGCCCCCTCCCACTCTCCAACTTGCTGCTTCTACATATATATATACAAACCCTTAGCATAAAAAATATACCAGCTGTCTGTCGGCAAAATAAATCTTTCAAAAAGACATGGCGCATTCACGAAGAAACATGCTAGTGCAGTCTCATCACCCAATCCAACATGGCTGCATCCTTTTCATCCTTTTATTCTCTTCCATTATTTCTATCAATATTCGTGCATGCAATTCCATCCTGTCTTCTCCTCCTCCTTTTGATCGATCTGACCAAGCCCCTGAGCTATTCGGGATCACCGCTAAACATGGTATTCGGGCCTTCGTTCGGGTCCCCACTGCAACCGGATACACCCATATACCTAACCCCGGGAACACCGCCCGTGGTGGTATTTTTCCCTCACTTCGGAAACACATCTCACCCACATTCACTTTATTATTAACAGGGTTAGATGTTATTTAGTTTTATCGTTTTAATTGGAATTCAATTAAGTCTAATTTTTATTCTACTCTAGCAGGGATCATAGGGGCGGAACCACAGAGGGGCAAGAGAGGTCAATCGACCCTTGCAAGCCCGTAATCCATCATTAGAGGTGAAGATGTTGACCTCTGCAAATTGCCACCAGCACAACAGACAGATTACCTTATTTCAATTTTCAGTATTTAAGTAAATGTCTTTGTCCTTTTACTTTCATTTATTTTTATATTACTCTCTTTACTTAAGTTTACAATGTAAATAAGAAAGTACCCCCTATTTGGATTCAAATAAAAATACAAGAAAATCAAATTCCCACCAAATCAAAATATGAAAAATCGATTTTAGTGCAAAATAAGATTTAGGCTAAAAATGATGGCTAGTTAAGTCAATATATACTTCATACTAAAATCTCATAAAATCAAGTTTTCTTATTTGATGTGTAAGGAATAAAAGCCGCCAAAAATTATCTTGAGAAAATGATTATTTAGAAAAACCATTTTTCATACTTGGCCAATATTTTTACATAAAATAATTTTTCATGTATGATATGAATGTAGGAAGGAACCTAAGGTCAATCTAGGTAAAAAGTCTTAGATGTTCAATCCATAAAGAGTTTTACAAGAATAACTTAACTCTTACATATTGAAGAAATATTAGCTTGAATAAGCTCCCCCTAAGACAGTACTTATAAAGGTCCAAAGTTTGAGAGTTAGAACCCAGAAGAAATGCAGATAAGGCCCAAAATCAAAACGACGATGAACCTCAAAATGATGTAAATGCCCTAAAATGAGCAAGATTGAGCTAATATATGACAACTCTTATGTCGAATACGATGAGACACATTGGGAGGCGCAGAGGATTACGCTAATTTTTTGGTTTATTATTACATTATTAGAGATATTTATGGTGTATTACAATGTATCTATTTTTTGAAGTTGATACAGTTCTCTTTGATAATGAGCATGAGTATTTTGCATGGTTTTATCTATTAACTATGAATTAGAATATTATCGTTTCATTTCGATGGGTCTATTTTGTATAGAATTTTTTTTAACCTTTTACGCGTTTACCCCCAGAATGAAAATTTCTGGATCCGCCACCATAATGGCAATTAAATGCTTGGAAGGAGCTTTTACCAGGTTGCTCACGGACGCGGTTTCAACTTTCAAGACTTCATTTTAATTAGATTTTTTTTTTTTCAAGTTTAGATAAGTTTATATTTTAATTGGTTTATTTCATATTATGCTAAGCTCATACCATCAGTTATATGTTTCAGCAGCGCTTACCATCCACAAACCGATGGGGGGGTTTTGAGCGTCCTCTAAGAGCAAGTCCAGCAGCTCGTTTTGGACTCGAGCTGGGGGGGTTTTGGGAGAAAAACAGGCTCCAGCAGCTGAGGCTAGCCCGAGTTCCATGTGGGGAACACGAAGACGGGCTGGCCCGAGGGCAGGTCCAGCCCCAGATCCAAAACGCGGGCAGGGCTGACGTCAGCGACGCGCCAACGGTAAAAAAATTTGAACTTCGCGTGCTGACGTCAGCCCTGCATTGTGCCAACGGCTCTGGGCCCCGTGTCGTCATCTGGGCGCTCCAATCGTGATTTTCTCTCTAATCCAACGGCAGCCAATATTTTTGCAATAAAAATATTTAAAAAAATTCCGAAAAAATTCTAAAAAATACCAAAAAATACTGGAATTTTTTTTCTATAAATACCTACCACTACTCTTCACTTTCAACACCAAATCCTCATACATTTTCTTCTACTTCTACTATTATTCACTTTTTACTCAACATTTTATTCACTTTCAAGTTTTATTTTTCTTTATCATCTTTATGGCTTCTTCTATCAACGGAGTTGGGGCATGGAACACCATGGAAGATATTTTGTTGTGTGAGTGTTGGGTCCAAATTTCTCATTGTCCCGTCACGGGCAATGAGATTAAATTCTTTCAAATGTGGAAAAAAATTCATTCCGAATTTTGTGGAAGATTGAGTTCGAACCGTACGGAAATGGCATTGTCTAGTAGGTGGAAAATTCTCAATAAAGAGTTGGGGGAATGGAGAGATGCCTTGACAAAAGCGATGGAAAACCGTAGAAGCAGTGAAAATCTTACCGATGAGGTAAATTATTTGTAATTTTTGTTTTATTAATTTTAATGTCCTAATATTTTTTTATCAATGTTTCTTGCATTGTCAATATTTTGTTAATATTTAATAAATACCCAATATTTTGTTAATAGTTCTTGCATTGCCAATATTTTTTTAATGTTTCTTGCATTGCCAATATTTTTTAATGTTTCTTGTATTTCCAATATTTTTTTATAAATAAATAGTGCAAGCACAAATGTGGTTTGGTGCTACTGGGCAAGAAAAAAATCTTTTAACCATCATGAATGTTGGGAGGTAGTAAAAAATTGCAAACGTTTCAGAATTATTCCCACGGGTCCGGCCGTTGTGTAGAACGAGACGCCACTCTATAATTCAATGGCATCGGATTTGCCTCTCGATTCCCCGATGAGCGAAGACTCACCCATCCAAAAGGAGCCGAGGCCTATTGGGAGAAAGGCGGCGAAGGCGAAGATAATGAGTAATTCAACTAGTAATTCATCTAAATTTTTGGAGGAAATTGCAAGGCAAAGCGCCATGAGACTTGAAATTGAGAAGAGAAACCAAGAAGATGAGAGG